CTATCATTTCATCCTTTTCTACACATGTGGTATCAATATTATTCTTGAATTCCAGAGTTTTTAATTGCGCAAATAATCAATTTGTCATACGGTCTAAGTATCCTAGCTAAGTATTTCGCTAGATTGTATGTCGGTGGATTTGTAAAATCAATCACTGGTCTTAGTGGATCATTATTTTTGTGAATCGTTGAAAGTCCATAGGATTTATAAGGGTTACAAATTTTTGGATAGAATATGAACCATAATGACGGTCTTAGTTTAACCTTTATCGACTGTACAATTTTACTCGTTTTGGCCTTAAGTTTATGTAACTAAAGTTCAGGGCTGTTTATAACAAGGAGAGATACGATAAATAAATAACCAGTTAGTAAAAAACATCAACAACAACAACATATTATTTTGTGCTTCTTGTGCTTTCCAGACAAACATCAGAGGTATTAATGATGGTGCAGAACATTCACTCTTGACCACCAGCCGCTTATCGAACAGAAACCTGCATAAAGCGCACTAACTCTTCTATTGAATGCTAGTCCTACTAACATTATTATTCTAATGTATGGAAATGCGTCCCCTATTTCTATGAGCGGTGTCCATTATAACATATTAACCTAATAGAGTAGCTTATTAAAATAAAGCCCGTAGCATTTGTAACAATTTGATCTTTTCTGTAAACTGACATGCCTTATACAACATGTTTTCTGCGAGAAAATATTATTATTATCGCACTAGAATTTGGCCCTTATCTCATATTTGCCGCTTTAAGCACTATCAGGTCTCAAAAAGTTATTTTCACAAGGTTTTTACTTCAGGTTTCACCAGCTGTAGTTTTTTGTTAGTACATATTTATGTATTCATATACACTGTTTACCCGTGTTTCTTCGCGTGACTTGGGTTTTATAATCTTTTTTGTGCTTGTTGCTTTATTACTTTTGATTAGAGTTATGGTTTTGATACATTTTCACAGTTGCTGTGCTAAGCTTATGCCTTTAGACCTTTGTGACTGGCTGCATGAACTTTTCTTGGATTTTGTAAGTATCATTACCAAGGTTTGATTATTTCGAATAAATTGAGCATTGGGTTGATTGTTATAAATAAATAATATATTTGTAATATCCAAATGAGTAGAAAATTAGATTTTCTGACGTTTTGTGACTTAGTTCCGTTGTACTATTTAAACTTGGATTAATTTCAATTTGGTTATTTGTTCTCTGAAGAAGTGACTTACACTAAGTCAAGAAACGTCAAAAAATCTAATCTTCTACTCATTGGGATATTACTAATATATTATTTATTTTCTTGGATTGTTCACATTGTACTAGTTACAATGGTCATTTAAAGTCATTGATGGGAGTGATCTGTGTGCCACTTCCTTATTGAAGATGTTATGAAGGGTAGAAAGCGTAAGAGATGTTATCACGGAATGTACAGTATCTATCGTCGACCACGTACCAACGTTGCTGACATCCTGTTTCATCGCAGTTATGTGGAGAATTTCGTTTTGCTGAAGCAACTCTTCTAGATGAAGCCTTAGAGCTTCTCATCCTGATGAAGAAGTTGCCGAGTGACGGTACATGCTCAACAAGTTTGACATCAGACGGAGAGAAAGAAAGAAGTGTATTCGCTAGCTCCACTGACTCCACTTTTATTCTATATCGAAGGCTGAGATTCCTGTTATGGACACATTTAGAGAGGAGACAACCTTTGTCTGGACCATTGTTACTCGTAATCGTAATGAGCTTCACGACCAATCTATAGCGCATGTATTGACGAAATGAATGCCACTATACGATGTGAAGACAGCAATACTCTCTAGAAAGAAAATTAGGGTACTCTGAATAAACGAACTCGTTCGAAATTTAAATCCAAAAGAAAAACCAATGAGAAGCTCTCGGTAGTCAGTGGGATGGAAATGACAATGCAATAAAAACCCGTGAACACGTCTCTTCTAAAGTCAAATCTGTTCCTAGTTCAATTATTTAGAGTCAAGATAGGCCAAAAAATGACCCCACTAAACGAAACACACATGATCTGGAGTTAATGAAATCTGACATCAGAAACCACTCTTATGGATGTGGTGTTTGTCTTGTTGTGCCAATAAGGTGTGACAACTTAAATATGTATTAAAAGTGCCAGAGGTATAAATCGCAAAGGAGGAGGCACATTACCGTATGTTAGAGATAACGTTCGTGTACAACGGAGTAGATAAGAGGCGAACGATAGTAATACACATGAGGGAACTTGTTTTAAAATTGAGCCTAGACATGAGCTGGTGACTATAGGAGAAGTATACCGTAGTCTACGTTATCTTGCCGACGATTCTGTTCGAAATCATATTTATAATTAGAGTACGGCTGACTGATGTCTCATTGTCCGATATTTCAACGTTCCACACATCAATAGAATAGAGCTTACAATTTCAGGTGCATATTTTGATGGCAATCTGCTGTCACATATTCATCACATAACCGCCGAATGTCGGCTTAGGAGATAAGTCATCATTGCTGGACGTTGCTCTTTCACATCATTGTGATGGGGTCCCAAACATTTAATGCCTACCCCCGCCGCAAGTTTTCTGAAACATATTACACAGTATATCTCTGCTTTCAAATGCAAGTTATTAAGATCACTGTTCATCCCATGGTCGACGCGTGTTCTGTCACATTGCCCTCCATAGATTGATAGGGAAACCCGAAAGTCATTGAGGCGCAGGAGACACGTCTAGGACTTCTTCTCGTTAACAGGCTACTAATCACTTGTGTGAATACTGAAAAATCCGTAATGTGTATCGAAAGATCGTAGCCGAAAACCACAGCAATTACGAAAGACAGTTGGCACACGATAGCTGTACTTTACTAAAACAGTTGTTTTCGTACATTAAATGAAGAGCGAAACATGATGATGAAATTCCGCCATTATTATTGTACGAAAATTCAGGTACACTACCTGGATCAGTTTCCGTCAAAGTTGAGACTTTATTAAACTATTTTAGCGAGATCTATTCTAGGGTCATTGTTAACAACACCTCTTATAACCACACCATTGACATACCACTCATAGAAACAATATGTATGACTGAGAAGATTGTTCTTCAATCACTCGTTAGCCTAACCTGGTAAGTCACTGGGTCCTGATGGATACGTCCATGACTGTTGTCGTCCGTTGTGGAAATTCTAAAAACTACTCACACTGCCGTTCAACACATTTCCTTTCTAAACTTGATTAATTAGGGGTTGGAAGAATGTCAGTCAGTCCCGCGTTTGAATATGGAAAGACAGATTGTATTTAGCTACCGACCTGTCAGTTTCGTAACAACTTAGGTCGATTAGTTATTAGTTGACCTCAAACAACCAAGCATATGTCAAAATAATAAGGCTCAAGTGTTCATTCATTTCCTTATATTGTATAAGCACATTTCCTATTACCTTATATTTAATATTTAAAAGCTTTGCGTGTTTGAACAGGTGACCTCTCGCTCCACTGTGTGTTGTTTCGCGAGCTAAATGAATACCTATTTACTAATAGTCTGATTTCTCCCATCAATAGAACGAGGGTTACCTACCGGCAAGAAAGTCTAACCAGAATAGCGGTTAGATTACCCGAAAAATGTTTCCGATCAATTTACTAAGTCACACAGAATCATACACTGTATCAAATCCTGAGCAGCAACAGTTTTGGAATAATAATCTGTCCTTAGCTAACTTACCAACTGCTATGGGGGTTGAACAGCAGCCCAAGATAATGGTTTGTCTAACAGTGTGATATTCATAGATCTTACCAAAGCATTTGATAAGATCTTATCCGGAATCTCTCGAGCTATGGCATTACAGGTGTAATACAGGGGTGGATTGAGGACTTCTTTTGTAGCCCAAGACAGAGGATGGAGGAAAATAGGATACTATCTGGATGGAAGCTTGTAAAAAGTGGTAGACTACCAGGCACCATCTCAGATACCTACTCTTTCTTTTCTACGTTCATGAAATACCGTGAACGCTTAAGTCACCGACATTAGTGTTTGCAAGTGATGCCGAAATCTGAAGGACAATAACTAGTGAGGCTGATAATCTTGACCTCGAAGCTGACGAGTTGAATATGCTAGACAGTTCATAAGTTTGGGCTGAGGAATTGATCGTAGAAAGTGTGTTAATGCACATCGAACATAACAATAGTGACCAGTATACTATCAATGGTACATTATTCCCATGCATTCAGGAACAAAAGACCATGTATTTACAGTAAATCATGACTAATAAGTAACTGTAGGTTGCAATGCAGAAGCCACAAAATGTTTTCGAGTGCTGTGGTCACTTCGTTGAACATTCAAATGTTTTTACGAAATTTTTCGGGTTTTATACATCATATAAAGAAAACCACATCTACAATACTGTATTCAAGCAGCTAGTCCATGTCTTATTGAGGATTCTCAAACACGAGAGACTGCTTAATGTGTGAGAACAAAAACAGTCGTAAGTCTTTCCAAATTCTCTTATGATAAGCGTTTAAAACACCTGTGCCTTTTACCCTTATAGTATAATAGGACCCGAGGTGACCTTATTTTGGTATTCTGTATCCTTGGCAGCAATTGGGGTGTTAACATGTCCAGTCTTTTTATTCTCTCCAGAACTAATCGTCCCCAAGGCCATAGACTCAGAGTAGGGTTTCGTTTCCCTCATTTGATGTCAGTCCCACCAGTAAACAATTTCAAGAAGAAGCTGAATGTTCACTGGAAAACCAGCTGCAAAGATTAAGACAGGTCTCTCGACCTCTGTCCTTGTTGCTGAAAATTTAGGATTGACTTTCACAATGAATTGTTAACCGGTGGAATTCCCCACCCCAGAACCTACTTGAGGCTCTACAAAAATGGTCGTTCAAAGGAAAATCGGACTGAATAACAGATGATGATCTCCAGGACTTATACTAACCATCAAGACTTCTGTCCTTCCCAAACTGGTTTCTTACGAGCGCCTGAATTAAAGGAGGGGTTACTCGCCCTATGTTCCTAAATGTTTACCACTAAATTCCATAGAGGATTATCTCTTTGTGAACTACTGCATCAATCTATAAGATGGAAAGTCAGTAAGGGAACACCTGCAAGAATGACTTTCGAAATTCGGATGAAACTTGCAGAGACGGATGATCCATGGTTTCGAACCAGGCTAGTTGATTCAACTGAAGAGGTTAGACATTTCTTTCTGTTATAAGTTACTGATTTTATTTTATCATAATGATTGCTTATTTATTCTTAGGTGTAGGCTACAGATGCTTCATATTCACTTGGTTAAGGTTACGCTAGTGTTACACGGATTGCTTTTTAACAAAGTAAGACATGGAACTTCAGTTTCTATTAGTGTGGAGAATGTCAATAGCAAGAATCTTTGAAGCATTCAATCGCCTCCAAAATGGCAGTTTGGAGTCAACAGTACCGTGTAGTGTATCAAAACATCTCGATACTTGGTTAACTAAACTCTTACCATAGTCCAAAAGTTCCTAATACTTGTCAGACTTGAAGTTCTGAAAGGTCCTATGGTTGTAATAAGTATTTTTTTGTTATATCCCAACCTGTTATGGTCATAATGATTTTGGGCTTAGTAAAATGCAGACGTACAGGTATTAATATGTTCTTCAGAAAACCTGCATTTTATACGATATTTTCTGGAGAATTCAAACTTACAACATATGTTTCATCGATCATACATGACTAAAAGGTTGAAGAAATAGATGGTTATGACTAGCCACAAGAAACCCTTCAGGAACACACTCCAAGTTTTACATTTTTACTTCCGTACAGTTTAGACCTTATTATATGTACCAAAAGCCTGGAATTTGAGACTGCTTTAATTTTAATGACGACTTTTTAAGCCTCCCGAATATTGAAGAACAGCATTCATGAAGACGCTGGTTATCTACACGAAAAAAAAACATTACCGGTCATCAAACCATCGTAATTCGGCAAGGTGCGTCGCAAATAGTCATAACGTTTTAACTCGATCCATGTAGGTATACACATAAGAATTTTGTGTAGGTCTGGGAAACAGAATGTTCTCAATCAGTATGAAAACGTGAAGTCATCATGTCAGCTATGTTTTGGTTCTAGCGCTAGAATTTTAACTGGTTTTAAATCCGTTAGTTGAAGTTCTGACAAACCAAATTCGCTTAGATCTGTGATCTGAACATGATTATGTATACAGTTATGATCTGTAGACAAACGCATAAAGTGACAGTTTGTCTTATTGTGACCGGATTAATAAGTTTACATAGCTGCTACTCTGAGGGTATTTGTTGTGTTCCATATGGTACTTATTTCTTGTACTAGCTCGGTGTAATATAGTGTCTTTGTACCTTTCTTTTGATCTTTGCTAATTTCAATAGGCGAAACATATTATGAAGAAATCAACAGAGTTTTCTAAAGATGATGTCATCACGGTTCCTCTCGAGGATGATTTGACGCCGGTAAATGGAGTCCCAAAAGAACACCAATCTGAAAGGCGTGTTAGAATTTTCATCCCAGCTAAACCTGCTACTCAATCAGGCACTCATGGTACTCGACTTTGGCGTATTGAGTTCGACAATCGCGAACGCTGGGAAAATCCACTGATGGGTTGGGCGAGCACTGGTGACCCACTTTCAACTACAGTTGTTGAATTTGAAACTTCTGAAGCGGCGGAAGAGTTTTGCAAACGTCAGGGGTGGCCATGTTACGTAGAAAGTCCAAATATTTTAAAAATGAATGTCAAGTCCTATGGATCCAATTTTTCATGGAACAAACGAACACGGGTTGGATCGAAATAATGTTATCAAATTGCTCACATTTTTCTTGTTGCTAACTTATTTTAGCAGCTACTTCAGTTGTGACCTATTTCATTTTGCTTGCTAATAAATATTGTAGAAATATAAATTAAGTATATATCGTTTACTTTTTGTTATTTCATAGTAAAAAGTTGCGTTTTTACTTTCTATTTCTCCGCTAATTTTGAGTAAGAGACTTGAGTTGACTACAAAGTTGTCTTATCCTCGTAATGGGACGTTTTGGCAACTTTGCTTGGACAGTGGTTTGTGAGAGTAATAGTCACTGTTTATACCAATTTCGCGTTGAAAATCTTCCATAGTCCATTGTAATTCGTATCATTTTTCATTCTTCAATTAGAACTGAGAGTGTGATTCACTGTCAATCCTATACTTGGACTCCTAACAGAGAAGTCCTACCCACTACCTTTCGTGCCGGGGGTGTTGTTTACGAAATTGAGAGGAAGAAAAGCGATGGTCTGGCACTTTAACCAGGTTGATGGATGCGGGTAGTTGGAAAACCCTGATTCCAAACCAGTAGTATACATGGGCTCCAGGATCCTAAGGAAAAAAATGGCGTATGAAACAATTGTTAGCCACCGGCTACCATGGGACTGCATCTCCTTATGTTGCTTAACTGCCTTGTGGATTAGACTTTTAGGTCAAAGGTTCGGGGTGTGGCCATCTATGAAAACCACCTGCTTCGGTTTTGGCACCCGGGCAGTATCCCAGCCCCTCGAATGATTTATGTGGCGCATATTTGTTTGGTGCCTCTTTGTACCAATGTTTATGTGTTTAAATAAATAAGCAAATACTCCTGACAAATGGTTGTGTAGTTTAGTTAATTTGAAGTTGTCTCACATTTTATGTACGTTGATAATCACTTGAAATGTCGTTCATTCTGCTGAAGTTGATAAAATCTTAATGTTTCTTGAGGTTTTTTACTCATATTATTGGAATGACCTACTGAAAGTAAGATATTCTCGTCATGAAACGAATGAGTAAATCTGTTCTCTAATCATATTTCAGTAGATTTCGTTGTTGCACATAAATAACCGAAATACAAGATTAAAACACTAGCATTACCGTGTATAAAATACTAAAAGCTACACCCGGTAAATTCTTATTTTTCATTTATTGGGATCTTACTTCAGGCTTGTCACAGTTATGATTATATGTATAGGGCGATATTTAAAAAAATCATTACATTGGACAGTAATAGGACTGAATGCTTCTTAGTGTGATAGCTGCTCAGACACTTCTCCCTGACAATCCTTTTTGTCTGATAACCTCACATTTTTACATGTATTAAGTTTCATTATGAAGGTTAGGTATTTTATATATTGAACTTATTTGACTATACTGTTCATTATGGATTCTGTTTCTCACCATGAATCAGTAGTAATCTGAGGATTTAAATACATTCTAGTAGTCATTATCGCAAGATATTCTTCTTTGGAAATCAATCATGTATTAAGTTAACCAATTTATTAGTCTAATAATTTCGTTCTGTTTACATTCTTTATAGGTCCGATGCCGATTTCAGTGGATAGAGAACGCCGTGCGAACGCCGGAGCCCGGATGGCTCGGTTGCTGAATGAAGAGGAGGAGGATGAATTCTATTCCAATATTTATGGCGGATTTGCAGAAGTACTTTTCGTGTTTTCTTGTTTATCTAGTATTTATTTTTCATGGATTGTTAGATTAAGTAGGTCGCTTAATCATCACTCGTGAAACAGATTATTATTATGTATTAAAGGTCACTTAAGGTTATTAGTCTATACATGGTTTGAATAATTTTTTCTGGTTAGCGTTTTTTTAGCGAGTTAGTTTTCTACGGGATGGGGTCGCTAACCCCATGCCCAACCCTCCTCCTTTATCCGGGCTTGGGACCGGCAGTAGCCCCCGGAAAGGGGCTCCAGGCGGAGTTTAGTCTATACATAGTATATGAAAATATCAGGAACGAAGCATTGTTTTCGAAGGTACTAATGGCAATATTTGTAAAATGGATACTAATTAATATCATACTGTACGGTTCTCATTGAGAATTGTATTCTTCTCTTCATTTTTTCAATGGATGTTGTTAAGACATGTATTCCTCCTAAAAACCACTCACAGTTTGGAGTTCGGACCTTTCTCAGTGTTTCAATTACCAACTTAATTACTGCTGAGTAATCACGGCATCCTAGTTTATTCCTTAATCGGCAGTATTTGTTCAGCATTATAATGTTGCACAGTAATTTATGTGCGTTTCGGCAGTCACTTTATATGCGTAACCCTATCAATCAAACTTATTCACAACTTAAATATCTCCCAGTATATCTGGCTATAGCTGTTAAAGACTTGTGTTCGAACCTGAAGGGATCTAATCATGTATGTAAACACGTTTTATTGACAAATTCTAAAAAGTTTTGGAACCGATATCCGTTCGGTTATTAATAGCTTAAATTAGTGAGATGCTTATTTATTACAACTTTGTTCGCATTTTCCAGATTCTTGGGGATAAGGTATGTAACTCTCATATTGATACAACTTTGACATTTCGGAAAATCACTTGTAATGTTGGTTGTTGGTAATACCTAGTAGTGAACTTCCAAATACTTTCCCACTGTTCGCGGCTCGTTTTTCTGGATATGCGTCTTATAATACTATATTCAAGTGCGAATTCAACATATATCCTAGAGTTTATTTGATTCTTTGCTTTGGGACCAGTGGGATAAATCCTCGTACAGTGTCATAGACTTTTGTATTTGAACATCTTTTTTGTAGAAATCTCGCAACTAATCAACGAAATCATATATATATATATATATATATATATATATATATATGTTTATAGTGTTTTATCTAGACGATGAGCTGAACATTCATACATATAATGCATAAACCTCAGATAAGGATAACACTTCTAACATACGCCTGTCATGCGCCTTTGTGTTATAATATTGAATTCATCCCCGAAAAACAAGTCTATTAATTGGAAAGATCATAGTTTTAAATCTTCTCATAAAAATGGAGAGATTGTCATAATTTTTTCTCTTATTTAATTTCTCTTATAGGAAGAAGAAGATGCAGATTATCAGTCAGAAAGTTCAGTTGAAGATGTAATTGACTCTGATTTCGCTGATGAAAGCAGTGAATCTGATGAAGATGACGCAACAGCAATAGCATCGGATGATGATGAGAACAAACGCCAAAAGCGTCAATCTAATCGTGTTGTTACGAAGGGTTACAAAGTAAGAATCCCTCCCGTTTTTTGAAAATTATGTCAACTTTTCTTCTAATTATAAGTTTTCCATGCAACTGATCATTTTGAATGAAGTCAACTCAATTAAAAAACGATGAATTTTCATATAATACGTTAAGCTAACCATGTATTCCCTTGTTTGCAGTTACATTCAAGTTGCTAAAAATAAATCGCTTTGGAAGAGGATTGAAAATATTAGCATACTTTAAAAATGTGTAAAACTACTAACCGTATTTGTAATACTTAGAATAGATGTATTGTGGGTAATGATACTGGGTTCGATTCCATTTGTAAGTATTAACGCTAAGATTCAGGTGCACCCATCTGAGTCCCAAATAGGATGAAACTCGCTTCCTGCGTTTTGATGCTATTCACAATCCATCTATTCTAAATAGCTTATATCATGATGCTAATATCCAAGCAATCCACACAGAATGCACATATGATAAAAATCTAGTCAGAATATAGTCCATGAAATTATGATAACTCAAACCCCTATAATAGTGTAGTGTGAACAAGAAAGAATTACTTCAAAAAATAAAATAAAATAAGAGAATAAAAGTTAGGAACCTACATTAGAAGTGAAAGCAAGGTTTCTTTTTTTATTGTTCATTAATGTTTTTATGTTGTTGCACAATAAGATGTATGAATTTTTTAAATGATTTATGCTTTGAAATTTATTAATTTTACATTTATTCGATAATAATCTATTTTTTTTACCACAGGAACCTAAACGTGCTAAAATTACTCGTCCTCAAGAAAACAAATCTGATAAGAAGGCTAATAGTGATAAAAGTCTAACTGATTCTCAGAGTAAATCTACTGTACAAATTAAAGATAAGCAACAACAGATAACAATAACAAAGAAAACTTCAGGGCAGATTTCAACTTATGGTAGGTCAATTATTTAATTTTCGTTCAGTTGAACATTGTGCATTTGCAGTGTGTGTGATTATATTTTTACTTAACTTGTCTTTGTTTATCAGTAATGACTAGCAATGTTATTTCTAAATAGAAATATCATAAGAATAAGGTCAGGAATAAACTATTAGGCAATTCACATACATATATTGTTAGAACGGAACTGTTACAAGTAATGATAATATTAGGTTTAATTTCATTTCGATTCAGCTGAATATCTCTTATTTCAATCTACACCATTATTGGATAATGAGTTGTAATGTATCCAATCTAGTGTAGACCAGTTGATACTGTACTTAACCATAACAAGTGTATGTAACACGTGCAACTTTAATTATAGACTGTTACTTTGGAGTCGTGTTAATGATAACCGTTCGTCAGGTTCCAGAACACAGGCATACTTACCGGCGTCCGACAATGGTGGTATTCCTTGACTTAAAAGCAGCGTTTGACTCTGTTGACCGAGAGGTTCTGTGGCAGTGTCTGTCATTGAAAGGCGTACCTCAGAAGTACATAAACCTTGTGAAAGCTCTTTACTCGAACACTACTAGTCGGGTCAGAGCCTATGGCGAACTGTCATCTGCTTTTGCAACCTCAAGTGGGGTCCGTCAAGGCTGTCCACTTTCTCCTTTTTTGTTTAGCTTTATCATAGACATCCTGATGGAAATAACGCTCTCATCGACTGAATTCTCGGGTATTGATCTCCTACCAGGAGGTCCACTTATTGACTTAGAATACGCAGATGACATAGTCCTGTTTGGTGGAGACGCTGAAAAAATGCATAGTTTTTTGGTAGCACTGAGTAACAATGCCAGGATGTTTGGGATGCGCTTCTCTCCCTCTAAATGCAAGTTGTTGCTTCAGGACTGGTCTGCGTCAACACCTGAACTAAGGATAGGGAGTGAAGTAATCGGACGCGTCGACAACTTCACTTATCTTGAAAGTCTGATCAGCCATAATGGGTTGGTGTGTGACGAAATCTCAGCACGGATTCGAAAAGGTTGTTTAGCCTTTTTGCCAACCTACGTCATCTGTGGTGAAGGCGAGATATCCGTCTATCAATTAAGGGACGATTATACTGCGCGGCAGTTCGTTCCGTTCTACTATACGGCTGCGAAACATGGCCTTTGAGAGTAGAAGATATTCGTAAGTTACTAGTATTTGACCACAGGTGCCTTAGAAATATTGCGGGTATCTGCTGGGATCACCGGGTAAGTAATAGTGAGGTTAGACGCAGGGTACTAGGGAATGATGGTAAATCGGTTGATGAGGTTATGAATCTTCATCGACTGAGATGGTTAGGCCACGTTCTGCGTATGCCTGAACACCGATTACCACGACGCGCAATGCTGACTAGTGTAGGGGATAATTGGAAGAAAGTTAGGAGCGGCCAAACCAAAACGTGGCATCAGTGCTTGAAGTCACTAACTTCTGGTCTGAGCCATGTTGGAAGATTCAGACTGCCTGGTTGGGGTCCGCGTGACTATCGTAACCAATGGTTGTAGACTCTTGGTGACATGGCTCAGAATCGATCACAATGGCGTAGGTGTATACACTCTCTGTATTCCCTCAAACTAAGAGATTAAAATCGCTTCATATCTTTCTTTCTACGAACTAATTCTTTCTTCCTGTACTATCTCCTTATACACAATCTTTCTTCTATATATTACCACCACTGAATTAACTACTCCTATGAATCCGGTGTTCATCTTGTTGTGCTAATGCGGTATGGCAACTTGGACCGATGCATATACGTGCCTGGTCCTACGTTGCAGCTGACTGACTGACTGACTGACTGATAACCCATCTCAATGATGCAGGTTGCTTGTAAATAATGTAGTGTAATTGCTGTTGTAAATGATTTACATTGTGATTGGTGACTGAGTGTGATACTGTAATGCTGGTATGATGCGTGGTATGTTTCCACTCTATGTTTTTTCAGAACCACTAGCATTTGCAAGCCATGAAGGATTCGTATAAACGGCTTTTGTTTTTTCTGGTATGTTATAATCTACTGAAAAAAGAAGTATTTTATAAGCCATCACGTATTGTTTGCAAATCTTATATATATATACGTATATTTTAGAACGACCAGAATTACGGGCAAGCACATTACAAGCTACAGCTGATCAAGAAGCCGAAACCACGCGTAGACGAATAGCCACTGCCGAAAATACAGCTGTTCGTCGTAAAGCGTTACTAGCTGAAATCGCTCAGCGCAAAAATCTTCCGGAAGTTCGGCGTTTAACTCAAGAAGAATTGTTGGCTGAGGCAAAAATCACGGAAGAAATTAATCGTCGTTCTTTAGGTGAGCTGATTTCATAATATTTTTTTATTTTATATTTGTAGAATTTGTTTTATTTTCCATCCTGAACATAGAATATTTTCTGTTATGTCAGAGGAGGGTGATAACTAATTTAAAGATACTTTCTTACCAGTTAACGAAAAGTGGGCAGTGTGTGTTTCACGATGTACAACTATGCTTTATTGTTGTTACTAGATTGCTTTAATTATATCAGAAAGTATTTTGTTATTATTTTAGTGATTATAATAATTATGGGTACATATACGCATAAAAAGCATGGTGTTAGTTATCTATGCATAATAATATATTTTAATTATAAGAGTGTTTATTCACCAGTTGCTTACTTATTCTTTCTTTCAATACCAGCTCGATATCAACGCTTAGAAATTGAAAAGAAAAAAGCACGTATCCAAAAAACAGTCAATTCAACTCCAATGATTCGTTATCATTCATTTACTGTTCCAATTATTGAGGAACAGCACAATATATACGGAGTGTTAGCTAGTAATGATGATGAGTAAGTTTTAATATTGGGTGAAATCTTAGAATATAAAAGGAACAAATTTTTCATATCATTTGGATCACGCTTGAAATAGAATCTATATGAGAATTATTTTAAAACTAGGCCATCTAGAATATATGAAACAAAAATAAAGTCTTATGGTTTTTTGGTCTGACATGGATTTAACTAGCTTTCAGGGGGTTTGTTTCCATCTCACCTGGATATGTATATGTATACATTTGTCAGATTTAATGTTATCTGTTTTCCAAAGCTAGACATACTTTTGTCAAGTTAATTGTCTCCGTTATGCTTAAAATTAATATATATGTAGCATGGGCACTTGTCTTTAGGCTGTTAAGATATGGATTCCTATCCATTAGGTAATTTAGTTCTGTAAATTATGTGGAAAAGACACTAATATTGCGTCCGATTTCAAACACTACATGCTGGTCTACTACATTGTCTTTCCAAATCATATAATTTTTTAGATTTTCATTCTTTATTGGCCATCGAGTTTTTCAGAATTATATAACTGTCCTAGACCGAAGTACATTACTGAGGGTGATTTCAATCTTATCTCTAAATGATCTTTTGGAGTTTTATCGTACAAGATTTTGGGATTAAGTGTATAACTGATATTTTGTGCAATCACGAGCTCTTCAAATTTTACGCTTTTACCATTTATCTTTATAAATACTAATCAGGCTCAACATGATATATCTAAAAATATAGAGTGGTATCAGCTTTCAGTTTTATTTCTAAGTCATAGTTACGGAGTCTTTGAGATCCCATTTAGAGAGCCGATATCTGTTAAAAAGTACCAACTCAATACAACTAAACTTCATAACCAGGTATCACTTTATAAACCTACAATTTCTCTGTAACCAAACTCACTATCTGTAAATAAGCTGCCTAACTTTGATACTATTTGTGTGTTTCTGTCAAACACAAAGTTTGATACTGAAACAACTAGGATAAAAGTAAGAAACTAGAAATAAGTTATCCCTAACCCGAAAAGGTCGCGTTTTTCAGGTATTGAGTTAAAGGTTCGGATCTATACCATATGTTCTTTGGTATGGGTAGTTCGTTGATATCGTTAATAGCCCCATAGAAAGTTTAATTGGAAGTAAAAACTTAATCTTGGTTACAGAGTTGCACCAAACTACTAAAAAACAATAAGAAAATCAGCAGCGACCTTGTTAACTTTTAAATAAAAGCACATATTCCTGTATTTTACTAACCTTTTACTTTATGAATATATATGTGGTTTATGAAACTCAACTATTCTAAACGTAAACTTGCTAACGTATGTAATAAAATTTTTGTTTCCAGTGATTTTATTTGTGCTTAAACTAAGATTGTAGTTTCATACAATTTCTAAAATATTTCTGATTTATAGGTCAACTATTCGAGCTGGTCCCATAATTACAGATCCTTCAGCTAAATGTTCAAGAAATCTTATAACATTTGCTAATGATGTATGTTTTCGTGATTCAATGCCTAAAACAATCACTCCACTTCCAGAGCCTGGTTGCCCTGCTCCTACTTCTATACGTCCAGAACGTCGTTTACGTATATGTCCAATTACTGGTTTACCAGCACGTTATTTAGATCCACTAACTTTAACACCATACGCTAATTTAGCCGCTTTTCGTGTACTTCGACGTTTATATTCTGTACATTTAGAAACAAAAAAACCACCAATCGAATTATTACGTGAATATCGGCATGGTCGTTAACATTTTTTCTACTTTCGTATACATTAATAAAAACCCGATGATGTATATATTGTGTTAGTAATTTAAAGGTTTCTTGATTTTAAAAACACACGCTTTAATCCAATCTGTATATCACTAACAAGTCCCTATACATGTACATAATCATCTTTAACTTATTTATGTGCTTATTTTTAAGAAACTATTCTTATACACGCTCATTTTCAAATCAATGTTTCAACATTCATGTTTGCGTTATTTCTTAGCTATAAATGTACCTTACTAATAAACATGTTTTGCATACTTGTATTGTTTATTGTCATAGGTACACTCGTACAGGTGGCACTGTTGACCTCCAGTAGATCCTTTAGTGAATGGTCACGCTTAACGAACATGCTAGTGAGATGGAATATATTCCGAATACGTAATTAAAATGTTTGAAAATACTCGGAGTATGTTTTCCTCTTATAAGGTTTAGAGCTAGCCTACACAATAGGTCTCCTGTAGCAGCTTGTAATGTTTTGGTGCAGTGTCACAGGTCGTTAGACCAATTTTTGCGGACTGGTAATCCATGACATTTCGGTACGCATAAGCCTGTTACCCCTCATGGAGGATCATAGACAGTTCACCAGCATTCTCTATCCAACTCTGTTCTGGACATTTCTTTCCAGTTGTTATTCACCCTTCTGATGTCTGTTTCCGGTTCTCAGCGCAGTGTGTTCTTTTTTCCTTTTCCCTTCAGGGTTTCAAGTTAACGCTTGCCTCGTGATGCAGTTTGATTTCCGCAATGCATACTCTATCCACCTCCAACGTCTTTTCCTAATTTGCTCTTCAACTGGAAGCTGGTTTTTCCTCTCCCACAGTAGGCTGTTGCTGATGGTATCCGGCCAACGAGTATTTAATATCTTGCGTAGACAGTTGCTTATAAATACTTACACCTTTTTGATGATGGTTGTGGTAGTTCCCCAATTCCTAGCTCCTTACAGTGAAACTGTCTTGACTTTCGTATTAAAGATTTTGACTTTGATATCGGTTGACAGTTGTTTTGAGTTCCACATGTTCTTCAACTGTAGGAATGCCATCCTCGCTTTACCAATCCTTGTCTTTACGTCTGCATCGGATATTCCTTGTTCACTAGTGATGCTGTTGACCAGGTACGTAAACGTTTCCAAATCTTCCAGAGTTTCTCCATCAAGTGTGATTGGGTTGGTGTTCTCTGTGTTGTATTTGAGGATCTTTCCTCTTCCTTTGTGTGTGTTGAGGCGTACTGATTCAGAGACTGCTGCTACACTAGTTGTCTTGGCCTGCATTTATTCGTGTGTATGGGATAGAAGGGCCAGATAATCTGCGAAGTCTAAATCTCCTAATTGGTTCCGAGCTGTCCGTTGTATTCCTTGCTTCCCCTCAGATGTAGAGGTCTCCTAAGTTAAATCGACTACCAGAAGAAAGACTTACTTACTTCCGCCTGTTACTCCTCGTGAAGGAGCATAGGCCGCTCACCAGCATTCTCCATCCAACCCTGTCCTGGGCAATCCTTTCCAGCTCTTTCCAGTTCTTATTCATCCCTTTCATATCCGCTTCTATTTCCCGACGTAATGTGTTCTTTGGCCTTCCTCTTTTCCTCTTCCCTTCAGGATTCCAAGTTAGCACTTGTCTCGTAATGCAGTTTGATGATTTCCTCAATGTATGTCCTATCCATTTCCATCGTCTTTTCCTAATTTCCTCTTCAGCTGGAAGCTGGTTGGTTCTCTCCAACAAAAGGCTGTTGCTGATGGTGTCCGGCCAATGGATGTTGAGTATCTTGCGTAGACATTTATTGATAAATACTTGTACCTTCTTGATGATGGTTGTGGTAGTTCTCCAAGTTTCAGCTCCGTACAGTAGAACTGCCTTGACGTTGGTATTGAAGATTCTGACTTTGATATTGGTTGAAAGTTGTTTTGAGTTCCATATGTTCTTTAATTGAAGGAATGCTGTCCTTGCTTTGCCAATCCTCGCCTTTACGTCTGCATCTGAACCTCCTTGTTTATCGACGATGCTTCCCAGGTATGTGAAGGATTCCACATCTTCCAGAGTTTCGCCATCAAGAGTGACTGGACTGCTGTTCTCCGTGTTGTGTTTGAGGACCTTGGTTTTCCCTTTGTGTATGTTGAGGCCTACTGATGCAGAGACTGCTGCTATGCTGGCTGTCTTTGTCTGCATTTGTTCGTGTATATTCGATAGGAGGGCTAGGTCATCTGCGAAGTCTTAATCGTCTAATTGGTTCTGAGCTGTCCATTGTATGCCGTGTTTTCCCTACCAGAAGAAAGAGGAAGGGAGAGAGTAGACAACCGTGTCTTACTCCGGTCCTCACTTGCAATGCATCTGTCAACTGTCCTCCATGCACTACTTTGCACCGCAGTCCGTCGTATGAATTCCGCATAATGCTGACGATCTGAGTTACACCACATTTTCAAGGAAGGTTACATAAGGTACTCCTATCCACACTGTCAAACGCTTTCTCATACTCAAGGACGGTGATTTTTAGTGACGAGTTCCATTCAATTGATTGTTCAACAGTTATCCGTAGTGTGGCGATTTGATCTGTGAATGGCCGATCCTTATGGAGTTCACTCTGTTGATCTCGAAGCTGGAAGTCTACTGAATCTTTCATACGGTTCAGCAATACTCTGTTGAAAACTTTTCCTGATACTGATAGTGTGATGCCTCTTTAGTTAGTTCTCACATTTTCTCAGATCTCTCTTCCTTGGTATATTGATGAAATATCTTTCTTTCCAATCTGTCGGCACTTGTTTTTCCTCCCATATCTTTTTAAAGAATATGTAGAACATCTTTTCGGCTACCTCAGTGTCTGACTTCAGAGCTGCGGCTCGTATATTGTCAGATCTTGCTGCCTTTCCACTCTTGATTCGTCTGATGGCCATGCTAGTTTCTTCGATCGTTGGTAGTGACAGCTATAGGAATGTCTATGTGTTGTGCTTCGATGTCCGATGGATTCAATGGAGCTGACCTATTCAAGAGTTCCTCGAAGTATTCCACCCATGTGTTTCTCTGTTCTTCAATCTCAGTGATTGGCTTGCCTTCTACGTATTCGGCTTGTGCCTTGACTTTCTCTGTTCTTGTTCGGCTGTTGTTAATTGCTATTTTCTTGTTCTTTCTTTCTTGAATCTTGTCTAGGGTTTCAATAGAGATTCGTTCCTTATGATGATGCTTGTTGCGGCCCAGAACATCCTGACACTTTAAAGTTAATGCTTCTTTGATCCCTTTCCAATTGTCCTCCATAGTAGTTTCCTCTTCTGTGAGTAGAACTTGTAAGGCTTAGTACCTGTTGTCGAGAGTTATCTTGAATTCGTTGAGTTTGTCATTATCATGATAGAAGGCTGTGTTGAACTCTTGTAATGCTATTTATCCAGTTGTCCAGTGCTTCTTTGGCTTCAGTTTCATCTTGGTAATCACCGGATGATGATCTGAAGCTATATCAGCCCCTTTCATGGTTCTCACATTTTCCATTGGCCTTCTGACCTACAAATATGATCGATCTGATTCTCTGTAGTGTGATCCACTGAGACCCATGTAGCTTTGTGCGTGCATTTATGGGGGAATATTGTGCCACCGATAATCATTTTATTGAATGAACATAAAATTGCAAATATCTCCCCATTCTCGTTTCAATAACCCAGTCAGTCCATGTCGTCCCATGATATGTTTATACGTGGTGTTATCCATTCCAACCTTGGCGTTCAGATCTCCTATCAAGATAGTCAGGTCCTTTGCTGAGCACTTCGCTGTGATAGATTGAAGCCTCTCATTGAACTGATCTTTATTGTCGTCGTTGTTATCATTGGTCGGTGCATAACATTGGATAACGTACATTGCGATTCCCTCCTTCGTTTTGAAGGGTCCTTTTGTGATTTTTGATCCATGAAATTCCCTTCCTATAAGTACTATACGTGCTTCTTTGGACAGCATCAAAGCAACTCCCTGAGTGTGTTGAATATTTTCCTCTTCGTGACCAGAGTACTGTTACATCTTTCCCAAATCTATCATTTTCTGTCTACCTTGGGTTCAATGGGTCTCACTGATTCTGTAGCTATTTGACTAGTCCTGTCTCCCACATTGTCCAAATATTCCATGTACCTATATTAATTGCCGCTCTAGTTGTTAGAAAAGGCATCAGCCTCGTGACTTCGAATAATATCGGCTTTCATCATGAAGCGTCATAATCCTTCCTTGAACTCGGAGGGAAGAACTTAAATGGTTTAATTTGTTTATTCCGGTTAGCGTTTTTTTACTAAGGTTGTTTCCTACGGGATAGGGTTGTTGGCCCCATGTCCCACCCTTCTTTACTTAGGCTTAGGACCGGCAGTAATTGTAGAAGAGCTACAGGTGGAGTTACACATACAAAGGGCTCATCACTTTTCAACCTAACTTACGGCTTCTGAGGCTTATTCGCATACTAATCGAATGATGTATAAACCTTTCAGAAATTTATTGTTTACCTCTGCGACTGTGGGACGAAGGCGTTTAGGGTACTGGATATATGTGAATTTTAGATATTCAGTTACAAATATCCTCAGAGTATTTCGAAAGGGTTCGTTTATTATTCTGTAAATTTTAAACATAATAAATTTGCATGTATTTATATCCTGCTCAGTGATATCATAGTCTTTATTCATCGTGAATTTCTGTTCTGTTGATTCCATCATTCTCCGCTGTTACAATTTTTATCGGATTTAGACTAATCTATTTTTAGAGATTTTATTTGTCTGTATTGGCCAGGTTATGCAACTGTTTGGAAAAGACATACCTTTTTCAGCGTTTAGACCTTGGCTCTGTTAAGCCAGGTGACCTACCTGGTTAGGACTCTGCGAAATCTGATTGTTATTATTTTCTGCATCTAGTAAACCGTATTTTAGATCATATTGATGAATTAATAAAATTAATAAATAACTCATACGAGACATTAGATCTTTTTTTGTTGCTGGCTATGTTTCAACGGACTGCAGTTTAGATGTGCAGGTAAT